GTGTGTGTGTGTGTGTGTGGTGGGGCGGGGGGGGGGTCAGGGGCCACTGGAAAGCTACCACTTAATTATCAACTAACCATATAACATGGTTGATGCTGATTAAATAGATGTAATTTGCCAGTGGCCTCCAAAATTCATTGTTAACTTGGAGGGTGCATTCATATCTACCGTCTTTATTGATATACTAGATCCAGCAGGGCCAGGTAATATTACAATTCTTTATAAAATGGCCTTGATCAATTTGATATTTTCAGCACAATCGTGTCACACACACACACACACACATCTCCTCCCCCCCACCCCAACCCCCTGTCCGTGATGCACGCTGCAAAAGAGTTATACATGTAACCCCAATTCCTCAGCGCGATATTTCTCTCCTAGAGTGCACGGCGCTAGACACCACAAACAGCACCCGCCGATGCACGCTACGTGACTCTATCACATTCCGGGGGCGAGGATTTGTTGAAATTTTCGAGTTATCGAAGGTAAAACAAACTTCGGCGGATAGTGTATCTTTTTCGGTACATAGAGCGTCAAACACAATAAATTAAGTGCACTTAATTTGCGGTAATAATAAACAAAGCGGTTAATGGAACGGTTAGGTGAGAAAGTGCGAGATCGCCTTACGTGCTGGAAGCGAATTTTAAGGATTCAACCACGCGATAAAAAAATAGAACGAATCGGCGTTGAGGAATGCTACGTGTTTTTCTTCTCAGATGTTGATATTAATTCGAAAGGAAATCTGTTCAGAGTTTAATGGTTGCAGACACGTAAGAGTCACATTGTATAATGGATATATATATCCCCTCTTTCTCTCTCTTTCTAAAACTCCCCAAAAAGCAACGGCCTAGATTACATGTAGGTTAAATGTAGCGACTGTTGCAACCCCATGTCTTTTAATTTTGCCAGTCTCTTAATCATAAACTGAACTGACATAGAAAAGTGTGAATTTTTATTTTAGAAAAGGTTTTCGTGTAATTGTAAAATTATGTATTTTTCACAGCTTTTCATTGATTTTTGAGCAAGCGTAGTTTTGTCAACCTGGAATAACCCAAAGTAAAGGTAGTTAAATGCTTGTATAATATATAATAATAATAATAATACATGTATATTATTATTATTATTATTATTATTATTATTATCATTATTATTATTATTATTATTATCTACAGATGTCTCCTAAAACAAAATATGTTTTGATTAAATATTAACCTAAATACCCTACAAAAAATGAACGCTGTGTGTACAGTGAACAGCAAGAGAATAAAGGCCAAGTTTAATGTATCATTTCCCATTTTTAAGTTTCCATTGACAGGCGCTAGAATAAGTGATTCTTGCAAAATAAATCACAATATTACATCATAAGTGAGGGTTTAGATTACTGTAAATACACATTGGCACAGGGATGCACCTAATAAATGTTCATTAAAATTTGAAAATATGAAAAATTTGAAAATGTGAAAGATAAATTTTTGTAATTATATAATTATTAATCCAATTACTTATCAACATTCATGCACATACGTAAGCACAATGTACAAGATGATGTCATAAACATTTACAATCATTTATTTCCACATTCACTTTATTTAAGATACAGTAACTTTCTGACTCTCAGAGAAAAAAATACAAATCATGTATTTCTCATCTTAGTTGTTACGATGATATAAAACCTTTGCTTATGAACGCTCGATACTCTTGTACTGAATCTAGTAAATACAGAATACAAATTAAACGCACTATAACTGTAAAAGTATTTTCATATCTAATTACGTATATGTACAATATATAAATGAACACAGCAATATATTACGAAGTCTGTATATTCTTCGTGTCATTCGAAGCGACAATGTTAGGAAGTTTAATATTCGCAATTCAAAATACCATGAGACGAAAACGGATTACGAGAAATTAATGGGAACCAACAATTGAGCAATTTAGTGCATTGTTTTGTTATTTCAAAATTCGTGCTAAATTAAGCACCAAGCACAAACCTTTAGTGTTGTTACACACACATTCGTTTACCTGTTAGATATTTACACATTTTTCTACAGCATTATCACAAACCATTAGTTTTTCACACAGAGGTGAAAAATAGCTGAATGGCAGAAGCGGAGGTGATATATTTGCGCTAATTAGTAAACTCACAAGTCGATCGAAGAGGAGTACAGTTCTATTTTGTCCAGCTGTTTTCGGTTTGTGTTCGGTTAATTTTCTCGGATTACACGGTACAACGCCCGAAGAATAATATTCCTAATTTTCTGTTTAGTTTCCTCTGCCTGGTTACCCGCAATTGTTTTACAGGCGCTCCGAGCGTGAAATTCGCAGATCGTTTTTGTTTTATCATCTGTTGGTATTGTAAACTTTTCACACTGTGTTGAATGTGGCCGTTTTTACAAATGGAGCACACTTGAGTTTTATTGAGAGGGACATTGTTTAAGTGATGTAAAATTAAGGCAAACGATCTCTCGCACTCTCTCCCTCTCTCTCCTTTTTATGATTTGCTTTAAGAGTTCATCATACGGGGTGGCTGTGAAGAGTTTTTTGTTTTATTTATTTTATTTTGTTTTATTTGCAATAGAGGACATTTTTCAAACATTATAATTAATAAATGCACATTATTAATTTGCCCCAAGCCCTGTTTCTTTTCAAAGTAGTCACCAAAATAAAAGTGTCAGTTCTAAAATATCAGGAACAAAACAGAAAGTGGAAGTATTGGAAATACGAAACAAATAGCAGAAAAGCTGAATATATCCTACATGTACCCAGCTGAAAGTCAACAAGTATATGCTAAGGCGATAGTTAAACAGAGCCGTAATTAGCAATAAGTAGTCACGTTAGGAAGCCCAGGTCTCGCGAGTGCGTGAAAGTGAATACACCTGGTCTCGCGCAGAAATGTTTGTGGTTTATTCTCTCACTGTCTGATTCTCTATAGTCGCCCGGAGTACGCCCCCTCCTCCCCAGCTGCTACTCTATGACTTCCACAAAGAACTGCTAATATAGAATAACACGGGGGCCCAGGAATATTTGACTAAATTATTTTAATTGTATTCTTTTTATCCAGCTACGAGTCGAAAAGTGAAATCCTTTTAAGTTTATTTACTCTCTCGTCTTGTGCACACGAGGTGCGGCGTTGGATTTATTTATTTTCAACGCGGCAAAGAACTTCTATTTCACATTGAACAAATTCCTTTTGATAGCAGTTATGTTAATAGGGGTTCGATATCGACTTAAAGCGTTCTTGACTTTTTAGATTAAACTTCGGGGAAGTTTTATGGAGGTTCTAGTTTCAGGCTGAGTCTACCAGTCCGAAGGTATCAATTTGGCTGGTGTCAAAACATGCTTAGTTCGCTCGGTTAGTTTTGAATAGTCAGGTCTCCTCCCCATTCTCGAACACTGCGGGCACGGGGCTCCCTCTAGAAAATCTCTGTTTAGACAGAAAGTGGTCGATTTCATCTTTTTTGTGCATTTTCAAAATAAACATTACTTAGCCGTCCTGGGTGGGCCGGCTAATTGAAGGTGTTGTTTTATAAACAGAAAGCGTTAGTAAATTGACACCGATTGGTTGAGAGTTGCTGGTTGCCCAGCGACGGGACTTTGATTGACACCGGAGAGCCCATTAGACACAAGAGTCCTCCACTAAAGTGTTTGTCTATTGTAGCATTTATTTTATCACCAGTAAGTCAGCTTTGGCAGTGAAAACAACAACACAAATTGTTCAAACAATGGAATATACAGGGCACTTCATAATAAGTGTAAGCACACACGCGGTAGCCAATTAGTTTAGCGCTGAGTGTTGAAGAGGGGTGAACAATCCTAGCAGACGATATCCGGTGAGAGTTAGCGCTGCCCCCAAGTCTCGCACCGCGTTGCCCTCTCTGATAGTTCCAAGAGTAACTGCTGCTGAGATTTTTTAGTAACAGTTACAACATAGAAATCAGCGAGAGAGAAATATAGCGAGACCGTAAGACGAGTACCGGGGAAAAAGACAGACATTTGTGTGATTTTTTTCCCTGTCCATGTCAGTTGTTGATATGTCAGGAGGACCGTTTCCCAGCGCTTTGGCGAGTATGTACGCCCGTTACACCGACCCACGTTACGCCGCCGCTGCGGCCGCCGCCTACCCTGGCTACCTGTACAGCCAAGACTATAACCGTTACCTCTCCATGCTGGCTGACTTGGAGAGACGGGAGCAGCCACAGAAGCCGCCGTACTCGTATATTGCCCTCATAGCCATGGCGATAAAGAGTGCTCCCGACAGAAAAGTTACTCTGAACGGCATTTATCAGTTCATCATGGACCGGTTCCCGTATTACCACGAGAACAAGCAAGGTTGGCAGAACTCAATTCGCCACAATCTCAGCCTTAATGACTGCTTTATGAAAGTGGCGCGAGAGAAAGGGAAACCCGGAAAGGGAAATTATTGGACTTTGGATCCGAATTGTGAGGAAATGTTCGAAAATGGCAACTACAGGCGTCGCAAGCGTCGCAACAAGGCCGCACCCTACAAAGCAGAAGACAAGTTGAAAGGTTCTGATGGGCTTGAAGACATGGACGGTCATCGAGATGTGATGGGGGAAGACATGGAAAGCGATGATGAAAATGGAAGTCCGCACGAATTTGAAAAACGCCCGGCAGACGATTTTTCCGAAGGCGAAGACTGCGGTTTTAAAACGGAAGAAAAGAACAATAATCATTGTGAAATTGACAGAACAGAAGCAGACGACACTAACGCAGACGATAAAGAGGCTGGACCCTCGCATTCCGAAATTCCGTCTGCAAATTGTAAGAAATCAACATTTTCAATTGACAGTATTATAGGTGAAAGACACGAACTTGACAATGAACCAAAAACAACTTCGGAAATTGAAAACGCAGACGGCGACGAGAAGAAAAAACCTGACATTTTCGATAAAATTCCTAGTCCTCCTCCCAAAATCTCAGACCTTCAGAAGCAGTATCCTGCGTTCCCAGTGGCTTATAACCCGTACGCCGCGCTCCTTGCCCGTCCACCGGTGTCATCGCTGCCTGCCGGTGCCTCCTTTGCAGCTCTCCAGGCGGGGTTCGCAGGGTACCCCATGGCAGCAGGGTTTTCAGGTGCACAGGGGATGCAGCCTTACCTGAGTCTCCCTACGCGGTTACCCTCCTTCCCGCCGAATTACATACCGCCCATTCAGGTCGCCTATCCCCACGGGACGGCGGCCCGACCCTGGGGGATACAGGGTCTTGGTATAGAGGAGAAGAAAATGTAACATTCCCCGTGAAAAAAAACCCAGAAGTTGGTAGAACTAATTTTATTACTTGTTGATTATGAAATAATTCGCTGATCTGCTCAATATTGATTTTGACGTCTATAGTGACAGCGATATTTTGATTTGTATAGTGTTAATAGAAATATCAGATGATATTGTTATGTTAACGGCAAATTGGTATCTTTTTAAGGTTCATGCCATAGGGGTATATTTACTGTTTTTAAGTTGTTATGATGTAAGTTTTTATTTAAATTTAGAGATAGGGAGAGAGATTCTGAGCAATAATATCAAAAAATAGACAATCAATTTTATTAATCAAAACGATAAATGTATATATGTACTATGTAATACCAATATGCATCAGTGTTGTACACAGATAAGTCCATATTGAAGACACGTATCATAGTTAACATAATGTTGTTAAGCTTTCTGTAAATATTTTATTTTTAAAATCATTTTGTTTAATATTATGAGCCACCGCTGTAAGCCAATGTATTACCAATTTTTACTATCTGTGTGACCGTATTGTTAGTTCAGCTGATGCTCCATAACCACTCAACTTCTGTGTGGCTTCCGCCGTAAAATATTGTATTAAACAAATTCAGGATGTTTTCAAATAATATCTCGGCCACGGCTTTGTAGCGGGGCCCACACTTTATCTAGGTGTCAGTCCGAAGGGGAGGTTTATTCGTCGGTGCGGTTTGAGCCTCTTCATAAATACTGCCAGTGTTTCTTGATGTTTTGTTTCAACACCTTGTGTTATGTTTGTAAATTGTTATCTGTTTGGGAGGGGCTGCGGGTCGGTACTAGACCGCCGAGGGTTGTTTTGGTGTTATGATTGTGGCGAGGGTGATGGGTACGGTAGCACCTCGACAAAGATGGGCGCACAATGCATGAGGTGCTTCCCTCATCCGGCGAGAAGGCACGTGCGGTTAGGACGTCAAGCGCAGATGTAGGATCCGCTCTTTCTCTGTCAATATTTTCCTGTCAGTGAGTTAATTGTGTGGAATTTAGATCACCTATTGAAAGTGGGACGAAAACTTCCCAAGGGATGTGGTATGCCAGTCTTTAATATAGCCATATCTTTAGTATTTTTGCTGTTGTTTTTATTGTTGGTCAGGTTTTATTAATTCAATAGTTCAAGTGTTGATTTTACTGCATTGAAAAATAAGAGAGTCATGGCTGACTAATTCTTTCTAAAACCAAGAGATGCCGTAAGCGATTGTACTGCTTTTCTTTGAATACAATGTGTAATGCATCGTTGGTCTTTATTTTCACTGTCATAGGTATGGCTTTTGGCTGCGGTGGTGGGGCAAATTTTTGAATCATCAGCCTAATGATTATTTGTTTTCTCACTGATACAGCATACATTAGAAGACCTAGGTATTTATGTGGTAAAAGGCACGCTTACAACTATCTATAATGTGTAATATTATGTTCTTTTTTTAATTGCAATTTTATAAATTTTCATACAGACTATCCTTGTCCCTAGCGTTGCCAATAAGACTTGTTTGTAAATATGTTGATTTTTGTAAGAAATTTCATTCCCTGAAAATATAAATTCCATCATTTATCGATGTTGATATGTATATTTGACAATAAATCATTTTATATATAAATGGAAAAGAAGTTGTTTTACTTGGCATTACAATTTCTACCATCTGTAAAATAATCGAAGATGAAAAGTAGAAGTAAACTTGCTTTTCTTAAAATTTTCAAACTTGAAATGAAATGAGCTCGTTGAGAAAAAAAATGAAATGGGATATCGCAAGATTCGAACTTTGAAACAATTGGTAAAACTAAAATCGAAATCGCGTATATAATTAAATACGGAAAAATGAATGTGATCATATTGAAGAAAAGTGTTTTATTTCAATGCGTATTGATATATTTTGTCATAGAAGGAAGAAAAATGCCATATTAATTAAAGATAAATTTATATATATTTAATCTTGCAGTTGCCTCATATTATCCCCATTTGGTTATCGTATTTATATCTTTTTTATATATTATCATATTTGCGACTTATAATAACGTGTTATTCCCAAGAAATCAAATAAGTTCTGATGTACGTACTAAGTACGCCAGTGACTCGGATTACGTCATCTCAGTCTGAGGAAATATGGTCATACGAGTAAACTTCTCTCTCCTTTTCACAAGTACGTGTCAAAGCAGCCTTTCAGTTCGTGTAAATGAACATTATTACGCAACTGTCAACTTCATTTGGCTCGCCTTCATTAGTGGCAACCTTTCTCTCCGCTGTCAAAACCCAAGCGTCCAAAGCCGATCACGAATTTGGACGTATCAAAAGGGTTTGTTTGGAAACAACACGAGGCATTCATTGTGAAGAGGGTTTAGGCGCGCAGGCTTACTCACGAGCTTCGTACCGTCTCACCCAAGCCCGTGATCTTCAGCGTCCCCTCCTTCAATGAGACAGCGTCTCCGTTACGTAAATTTAATCTGCCTGTGACAGCAAATCTGTTTTGCCCTCTGCATACGAATACGGATCAGAGAATGACGATGGGGAACGGGGCTTTGATATACCACGGTGTTTTGTTTCCAGAAATCCCATGATCTACATTACTTCGATACAGTATTAGAGCGGCTCTTTGCCCAGCCTCCATTAAACGTAAGTGTCGGCAATGACATTCGAGCTGGCGTCCACAATGCGTCCGCTCTTATTATTTAATCAACTCCTTTGACGGCCGAGATCAAATTTGTTTTCAAAACTTCAGCTTTTATCATTTTGAAACCAGGCGAAATGGAGACTTTTACCACAGTCTAAAGAACTGTCTTATAAAGTCGTTTGTTTCGCCGTGAGGACTATTTAACGTTTCAAAGTGTCATATTTCTGACTGTGTGAACTAAAAAAAATAACGTTCACACTTCGAATAGAGACTATTCTTGAAGACAACGGCCATGTTTGAATTTTGGCAGACGCTAAAAGTCAATGGAAATTAAACAGGAATGGTTGTGAAATATTTGAAAAACGCATTTTGAGTTTTTAAGAAAATTAAACGTTAAGGCCAGACAAAATTGTTAAGTTGCTTAACGAGAATGACCAACACTTATTTTGAAGAAATTACAATTTTCACACCTATATTTTTCTAAATAAAAACGTTTATTGGACATAATAAGCGGGGGAATTTAGCAATTAAGCCCAGGAAACATTTTGAATCTGGAAGTTTCATGTTCAAAAATCGCCCTAACTGTGGATTTGATATTTCGTACTCCTAAATTAAGCT